TCAGCAAAACACAACAACACGGGGTTGCTCTGTCAGTTGATGACTTTGAATGCTTCGCAGGGATTCTGGCACATCGAGCAGTCGAATGAGTGCCGGGAAACGGAACTGGAAGGGAATGTTGCGTCACAGAGAGCAAGGTTCCGCTGTAGGTATTTTGAAATCCGAGTGGAAATCCTCTTCTCCGTCCGGTTGATATAAATGCTACCGCAGGTGCAGGTAAACTGGTGAATTTATGAGGCGGTGAGAGTAGAATGATGCCTTCTGTCCAAAGTGGATTCATGTAGTAGCTTTTTGGTTCTGCGGAGCAACACAAGCTCAGCTGTGTAGTAACATCTCTTTATAGCACGACGTAAAGATTTGGTTCGCTGGATACTCTGGTTACGCTGCTTTGCATCCTCTCCCATGAAACCAATCGCATCGAAACGCATAATGAATGAACGAGGTTGCCGATTTACCCAGGCCGGTTTCTGAGCGCTCCCTGAGGAGAGATAATTTACCCTTGAATCCGAGCAATCTAAAACGTCTTACGAACTCTCAAATCGCGAGGCTCCACTCACCGCTGTACGCAAATAAAGGTCAAGATGAGATGTGTGGAACACACCTTGCGTGGATTAAATCTTGTTTGTTGTGTGAAGTTCTATAGCTTGCTTCGCAACTTACAAGTTAAACCTAGGATGCAAACGAAGCAACAAACCTTGAGTTTCATTTCTTCTCAGTGTTCCGTATGAGGTGACCCCAAGAAACCCAGAGAAATACATAATAAACTTATCCGAAGTCGCACTAAGTTCTCACCAACTAGAAGATTTGGCCTTCGGTTTCCATTTTACGGTGTCCCCCAGTAAGTGTGATCGAATAGAACTTGAAGCCAAGTTTGAACGTCTGTACGAGCAGCTTTCCAGTCTGATGTCGGTGACACATGATGACGTTGGATGGTTTTTAGATCAAAGCTGTAGACATAGCCAATTAGTTTGACGTTACGAAGCCTGAAAAGTGTTGAATGATTACGAACGACAATTTTGCTTCCTTGATGCAATTGCGTCGCAATGATGATGTACTAATAATGTGAGCTAACAAACGTTCCGGAGTCGCTGTGATGAACAAACGGGATTACCTACAGAAAAAGATAAACTATACTCATGAACGAAAGTCGATTTGTTAGAGAGTTTACAGGCTGTGGTAGAACCGAAAAGGTTGAAAAGATGATAACCTGCTAGCTGCGAACTTTGCACAAAGACAATTTGGTCGATACCAATACCATGACAACATTACGGCCGCGTGGTTCCCGACTTCCTCGGATGTATGGGTTGACGAAAGTGCATGAAGAAATGGTTCCATTGCGCCCAATTCTTTTAATAGTTGGAGCACCTCACCAGAATTTGGCGTGATGGTTAGGCAAGCTAATTTAGCCCATCCGAGGTGCGTTGGCGGTCCACAGCTTGAAAGGTTCATTCGAGTTCGTTAAAATGATTCGGAATCTAAAAGTGAGCGGTAGGTGAATGGTGTCTTTTGACTTGCGTTTTTATTTACAAATGTCCCGTTGGAAGAAACGCTGAACATCATGGGCAGTTCTGCAGGTAGTTGGGTTTCCACCACATAGATTAAAGGAGTTAATTTGTATCTGTATAAGAGATGTTCCATTTTGTTTCAGTGGAAGCCTCTATGGGCAGACTGAGGTTGTAGCGATGGGTAGTCCCCTTGGCCACCTTTTGGCTGACATTTTCGTAGCTCAACTAGAGAACTCCAAATCGTGTCATCCTATACAGGAAGCTCAGTTGTACGCTCGATATGTTAATGACACATTTGTCATTCAATCAAGAACAGCAGTACATCAGCCATGTGAACTGATGCATCGCTGCCATACAACCATGATGAGCTACAAAATAATGAATAATAAAAGGGAGCGAAGGGGGACTTACCTGAAAATCTTAATGCACCAAGCAAACATTCAGTGTTAAGGCGTATTTTTGGTAGTTGGCGAAGCTCAGCAAGTGATATGCATGCTAAAAAGGTTTAATGCATGTCATCCAGAGATCGGGTTCACCATGGAAAGCGCAACGTCAGGACAGTTCCACTTCTTAGATGTAGCTGTAGAAAGAAGTTCAGATGGGTCGCTTCAGAGATCAAGTTATCTCAAATCTAGCTGGACGGCAAATATCTAAACTTCGACAGCTACTGGCCCATGCGATACAAACGCTCCCGGGTTCGTGCACTTTTCGTGAGATCCCGCGGTATCTGTTTACAGAAGAAGACTGAGGAAGAACTAGAGGATATCGAATCCACCCTAAGTGAAGAAGAGTACCCTGAAAAGTTCATTGCAAAGTAGGGGGAGAAAACCAGGCAGCACGAAGAACGAACTGAAGCCTCACAGAGGAAGCTAATCATTGCACTGCCATCCAAAGTGGAAGAAGACGACAAACGTTTCTGCACTCGCTTACGTCATGCCTTAAAGAGCTGTTGCTATACAGGTGAGGTTGTGTTGCTCCGCAGAACCAAAAAGCTACTACATGAATCCACTTTGGACAGAAGGCATCATTCTACTCTCACCGCCTCATAAGTTTACCAGTCTACCTGCACCTGCGGTAGCATTTACATCAACCGGCCAGAGAAGAGGTTATCCACTCGGATTTCAAAATACCTACAGCGGAACCTTGCTCTCTGTGACGCAACATTCCCTTCCAGTTCCGTTTCCCGGCACTCATTCGACTGCTCGATGTGCCAGAATCCCTGCGAAGCATTCAAAGTCATCAACAGACAGAGCAACCCCGTGTTGTTGTGTTTTGCTGAGGCTTCCGCCATCCGACTTTGGAAGCCTAACCTATGTGAACAACTTGATTTTGTGGCCAAGTTTACTTTGACTTGGTGAGGCAAGCCAGGCTAGCCAACGCAACTACCCATCGATTTCTAATATTAACCTATTACTCCCAACCAGTTGTAATTTTCACCCATTTTATGTAAGCTGCTGAAGAGAATACACGAAATATACTGAATTCAGATTATTCTGCAGAAATATTCTTTGCTCTTGCTCTATTAAAACTCTCGCGTGTCGTCGAGTGGAACTTATTGATCTAGACCGAGGACAAAAATATGACTCGGCGATGGGTAATCAGGGGTTTCGCAAACTGAGGGAACAAAACTTAGTTGGGGTTTTGAGTAGTCAAATCCTAATATTCTGCCTTGCAAAGTTAGTATGTGTAAAATATTACATTTAGCCCGCAATCCAAGTACTACATAAGCTAGGAAATCGCAACTTGATGACCCCACTGGAGCTCGATCCTGGGGTAGTGATGCAAGGTGACCTCGGCTGTTCGGACCAATCCGGTGGGTCAGACACCGGGAAAAACCATGGTGGGGGCACTTCGAACCCTCCATCTTACCGCAAATACTCAATGCGAATGTGAGAACCCATGTAGAGTACACAGTCCAGGCTTAACAACAGTGGCTTAGACGCGATCTGGCTGCACTGGAGAATCTGCAGAGAAGGGCAACCCGAAAGGTGAAGAATTAGTTCCACTTGCCGTAGCATACACGACTGAAAGCCCAAGAAGCGTACAGCGGAAGTTTTCACCGTCTACCGGGTGATTCCGTTCTGGCGTATATTATCTTGACAAACCCCAATCACGCTTGCCGTCATCTCTAGAAACGTTGAACACAAAACTGAGGACCACTAGCTGAAACTGTCTACTCAACACAATCGACTGGAATGGCGCCGGAATTGCTTTTCTCTTCGAATTTATCAACAGTGGGACACACTGTCGACCTTTGTCATTTCTGCGTCCAGGTTACTAATTTTTGAAAAGTGGTGCGAAGATGTATTACAGGATCTGCGTTATGAGATTAGTATAGTGCTCATCTACTGATGACAATATGCATACAAACATTGTGCTAACCAGTTTGCATAAAAATGGGGTGGACGGAGAGAGTGAGCTCATAGAAGTGTGGCTTAAATTGGTGCTAATATTTTCTTCTTTGAATTCATGTATTTCACACAGGTCACCCTACGGGATTGTCAAATTCTAGCTTTTTGCCTGTTCTATTGTTCACAGAGAAGCCAATCGCATTCCATCCAGTGTATTTGACGCAGACTGAATGTTACCTAAATTTGACTTGAGTGGACATGAATACCTACATGATAAGCAAGCAAACGTTTTGACACTATTGAAGATCGATTTCGTGCTAAATTTACGCCAGGGATAGATATCCGTGAGGCAATACTCAGAAAATATCCGGTTCCCGTGAACAATTGCCGCTTGTGAACCTAATAATAAAAATAATAATGATAATAAACTTGATAAAAGTATATTTCTAGTGGTACCGAGAAACCGAGCCCACAAAGGGACGGATCATATTTTACATATCTACAAACCATGCTTGCGTTGCTTTTGTGCAAGCTATCGTCGACATGCGTTCCACCTAATAATATGCCTACAAGTACTGATCATAATACAAAGATGGGTGGAGCTGCCGACAGCCACATGTTGCTTGCTGTTCGTGTGTAACATCGCATTCCACGGCAAATTTGGAACGTGGCTGCACCGATCAGTTAGAACCTGCGATGTTCCGACTACCAGCCGACGCCTACATTCCTACCGCATCAAGCATCCAGTAACGCCTGTTACGCCATCAAAACGAACTGACACTTGTTCTGACACTATCAGTTAGCAAGAAACCAGGTATGAAAACAATTTACGTGCTCATCCAAATCATTGTTGTAATGCCTACTCAGGGAATATCAGAAATATGACAAGAGAAGGCGAACTAAGCACACTGAATGGTGTGACATCGCAGCGTCATTATCCGTATAATGCGGAACGAGGAAACTTCAGTTATTTGATCTACATCAAACGTTCCGCTTGGAACTCTTAAATAACACTAACCCAACCCAGACTGCTTAGTGAATTAACAGGACACGCAAGACCCTGCACCAAACTGCAGTCCGACCTCGTCGCACCATAGGCGTGGGCACTGGGAAATCCCGCATAAGCCGAATAAAAAGTGCAGATGGAGATGAAAAGCATCTAATCAAGGAAGTTTAGGAGAAATAAAAAGATAACGTTGAATACAGAGTTGGTCTCATTACTAGTGCAACACCTGAAGATCAGGCATGATCAGCGACAGAGTGCGACCAGTTTAGAAGCACTTGCGGTGAACAATACCAGGACCAGATTCATCATACTCCTGCTTCGAGATCCACATCTGCTGGAACGTAGACAACGACGCCAAAATGGAACCACCAATCCACACAGAGTACTTGCGCTCCGGAGGTGCCACTATCTTGATCTTCATGGTACTCGGAGCCAGAGCAGTGATCTCCTTCTGCATACGATCCGCAATTCCAGGGAACATGGTCGTCCCACCAGACATCACCGTATTCGCATACAAATCCTTGCGAATGTCCACGTCACATTTCATGATCGAGTTGAACGTGGTCTCATGCACACCAGCAGACTCCATACCCAGGAAGCTCGGTTGGAACAACGCCTCCGGACAACGGAATCGCTCGTTCCCGATCGTGATCACCTGACCATCAGGCAATTCGTAACTCTTCTCCAACGACGAACTGGACGCCGCAGTGGCCATCTCCTGCTCAAAGTCCAGAGCCACGTAGCACAACTTCTCCTTGATATCACGCACGATCTCACGCTCTGCCGTCGTCGTGAAACTGTAACCACGCTCGGTGAGGATTTTCATCAGGTAATCCGTGAGATCGCGTCCTGCCAAATCGAGACGCAGGATGGCGTGCGGCAGAGCGTATCCCTCGTAGATGGGCACGGTGTGAGTGACACCGTCACCCGAATCCAACACTATTCCCGTCGTACGACCAGATGCGTACAGCGACAACACCGCCTGAATGCCCACATACATGGCGGGTGTGTTGAATGTCTCGAACATAATTTGAGTCATCTTCTCTCGATTGGCCTTCGGGTTCAGTGGTGCTTCGGTGAGGAGCACGGGATGTTCCTCTGGGGCCACACGCAGTTCGTTGTAGAAAGTGTGGTGCCAGATCTTCTCCATATCGTCCCAATTCGTCACGATTCCGTGTTCGATCGGGTACTTGAGTGTGAGGATGCCCCGTTTCGACTGTGCCTCGTCACCAACGTAGCTGTCCTTCTGGCCCATGCCGACCATCACGCCCTGTTTGTTGGTGGGTAGTGGGAAGAGTGAAATGTGCATTCGTTTTTACTTTTGAGATAGCTATGCCAGTATGAAATTAAGCATGCACAACCTACGCAGTAACTATGGCATTATAGCAAGTAACCAAGCTGCTAAATTATTTTACTTCACTAACCGGTGAGCCAGAATTCCAATAAATTGCCTCGAACTCACTTGATGGCGTGGTCTGCCGACGATGGAGGGGAACACGGCGCGTGGTGCATCGTCTCCGGCGAAACCGGCCTTGCACATTCCCGATCCATTGTCCACAACCAAGGCCTGAACTTCGTCATCCGCCATTGTTTGCCGGTTGCTGAGCGAGATTCGTTTGCGAGCGCCGAAAGTGTGGGCAGGTGTCCCGACACGAGAAAGCGAGTGCCCGTGTTCATCTGGGCGCACACTTATATCCCTAGTGTTTTGTCTTGCATCTGGCCATATTTGGGAGGTTAGTTATGTGTGATTTGTCGCCACATCCGGCCAATCCGGCGATTCGTCGCAGTGCGACCGGGTGCGCATTCTAACTGGAATCGTTACAACTTTCCGGCATCTCTCCTCGTGCAGTTCACGTACCATTCCCAGTCTCTGGCGAATCGGGTGTTGCACATGTGCCACTGATCGATCCTATGGTCACCGCACTGTAACTATTGTGGTTGGAATTTTCCACGTGCGCTGGTTCGCGCACACTTGAATGAAGTGTGTCGATGGGTGATCAGCGTGGGCAAGTTTTTGCCAAGTAGCGTGCACTGTGTCCATTGGTATCGAACTGCAGATAGGCCAGATAATTTAGTAACATCGATCTCCATCAGCATTGCAACCTTATGGTCGGTTTGTTTTGTCTATGAGTACTCTTCCTTTATAAATTCGCTGCATAAATTCCGGTTAAGGTCTTAATCGCTAGACTGTCTGGTTCGACTACCAACGCTCATTGTAGAGAACAGCAGTATGAGACAAACTATTATTTTCAATGATTCCTCTACGAGCTTGTACAAATCATCGAAGGTTAAGCTAGAAAGGAATGGACTATGATTGGTTCAGAGGTTTTTACTGTACTAAGTTGGTCACTGGTTAGTCAGTAAATATTTCCGTGCTATTAAGTTCGTGCAGACCGGTTGTGGGTTCAAGTTCAGTTGGGGCTCGAACGAAAGAAGAATCTGGCGAGTGCTCTTCTTAATCGGATCGTCGAGACAGGATTTCATAAAGTTCTCCGAGTTCTTGATGGATCTAAAACGGAACACCCATATCGCACCCTGGTCAACCAATTAAAACCCACGTTCCCTGCATTAGTAGTCCCTGTTGCGCCGGTTCCATGCAGTAAATAGGATATAGGAAGAGGAATTTAAGCTAACGTGTAAGAAAACTTAGTTGAAAGAAAAAGATAATACCAATAGTGAGGGAAAACTCAGAACGTATATAATCGATGTACAAAGATGAGATTCTGTCAGGAGTGCGAACGGCTTCGTTTTGCCATCTAACGGTATCTGGTTAAGTCTCAAACCCTTTAACTGTAGATCCCTTGACAACCCTTCCTGGAACTGAGATGCAACGTACAATGACTGTGCAATAAACAAATTTCCGCCCTAAACCTGTCGGACCACGATTTGTCCAGCTTCATGCAACACCCGCGGAGACCAAACAACTTGGCAAGACTAAAAGGCTAAGACAAAACTGGGTCAATCTATCCAGTTAAGATACGGTAGGTTGAGGTTATGTCTCCTCTGGGCTTCTGGCAATGTACTGAATGCATCCCCGGACTAAGTAGGCGCTCGGAGTACGTTTGTCCTCGTAATCCCTCGACCAACCTAGTACCGGTACGCCGCACCATTTCTAGCGTTCTTTTGTCCTGGACAAGGTATGGTGCACAGGCCTGGTCGTAATATTCTAGGTGTGGTCACATGCAAGCTGAGAAGCTTTTTATAGACATATCAGTTGTTAGGATCCCGAACGTACGTCAGATAAACTACAACATTCGGAACCGTTTGCTAGTCGCCTGCTTCTAGTTGTGTTCAGAGTGTAAAGTGGAACAGTGGACGACACCTAGATCAAACTGCTGAGTCACGTGAGGACTTTCACTCTCATCGATCATATAACTTGCAGAATACTCAGGGGCTACCATACGTAGTAGTGCATACTTTGTTCGGTTTATATTCAACATCGTGAAAGCAGACAGAAGACACAGATTGCGATATATCAAGGTTTCAAGTGTTCTCCTCACTTGCGACTGAGAACAATCGAAGTGTTGACATATCGCAATCTATGTCTTCTTTCAGCTTTGAGGAAGTGGATGAAGGGGACCAAATGTTTTACTTTTTATATGCAACATCCACAAGACAGCCCATTATCAGAGTCTATGCAGAGCCCATTGAAGCGTCTCAGGAACCCTAAGGACATCCACTAAATGCTGGATCTTTAGTTTATCACCAAATAAAAGCGGTGGTTCGTTACGTTCCACAAGTGTCATTTAAGTAGACTGCGAAGCGCAGCGGCCCTAGGACAGAGCACAGCGGGAAGCCGCTAAGGACAGGTTGTCGTAACGAAAGACTGTTTCCCACACACATATACACACACATACTGTTCCCATCCGTGTAGAAAAGCTGACACCCACTGAAGGGCGTGACCAGATATCCCATAAGACCTCAATTTCAGTGAGGACCGCGTATGGGGGACAGTGTGAAATGCTTTAGCGAAGTCATTTAATACGACGTCCACTACATGCCGGCTGTCTACGGCTTCAGCCCAGCTCTCACGAGCTACTACAAAGTTAGACACGAACTTGTTTTGTGAAATCGATGTTGCGCAACACTAAGCAAGTTGCTTTTATCCACATGGTTCGGCGCTGAAGCTGTTACCGATTTTCTAGTAATTTAACCACCAAGCTAGTCAAGATACCAGGCCTATAATTAGCCGGTAGGTCTTTGTCACCGCACTTGAAAATCGAGTCAACCACTGCCGCTTTAAGTTCTGGAGACAATACACAGCCGTTGGGTGATTTCTGAAACACACAACTCAGGGGTCGAGTGAGTTCCGTTGCCAATTCGTGCAGCAATTTTGGATGAACAGAATCTGGCTCGAAAGCCTTAGTTGGGTTCACCTCTGTCAGCAACCGGAGAATTGGAGATTCAGTTACAGTAATTTCATTCAAACGAGAGTCCTCAGAGACTATTGAAGCTAGTTCTCTGCATGAGGTTTTCTTTTTACAGACAAAGACGCTTGCGCGTTGCTCACCAAGAAAGCATACCTTGTCATAGTCGCTGAAGTCATGGGTCCCATCCCCTCGAAGCAATGGTGATATGGATGAGTTTGCACCGTAGCGTCGTATAACATTGGCTAAGAATTACTTGGGATTTGTCGAGGCAGTATCACCTAAGCCCTGTTCATACTGAAGCCGGACCAACGTGAGATGTAGCTTGCGTTTATTTCGAGCCGACGGATAGTTGGCAAACTTGCTGATTGGCGGAGCTGCTCGATGCGTTCGCTAGCATCTAGATCGCCTCTTTAGCAGGCCCTTCCCCGTGGAATCTATCTACGAAGGCTGCGCTCTCGATTCCATTCTTTTCACCAGTGGGATTTCAGGTGCTGAAGCATCGACGAGGTAATCCCTAAATATTTTCCAAGCTACCTGAATAGTGTCGGTCTCAGAGTTCGCACAAGGCGAGCATAAACCTCTGTCTCACATCATTGCTCGCACGAATATCAGTGACGATTTAGGTTGATGGGTGTTCGGCCAGGGCAGACAGTGAGTTTGAACAATTGTTGCAGGCACTGCGGGGTTTGAATTTCCGTATCGATATCGTTCCTGCAGCGGCGAGCATTCTTAAGCACCAACCTTTTGAATTGCTTATGGGAACCTGATAGACCACAGTAAATGCACCCCGGATGTTAACCTGGTGACTTGATTCGAACCGGTGAGACAAAATACCGCTTGTGAGGACACCGGTGCCCCAGTTCACCAATTACCTAGGGTTTTGTTCCTTAATGCGACGTGATAGTTGACGATCCGTTTGACCAAGATAGGTTGCACCACAGGTGCACGTAAATCCATAGATTACCTAAGGACAGATCAGTATCTTGTTGCACACCGGAATCAGCTATCTAGTGCAGAAACCACGTCGCAATTCCGTAGCCGGAAATGTGTTCCTTATCGATTGTGTCAAGTTGCTTGTCATTATCTCAGCAACTGTATCACCTCTAAAGCGAAGGTGGACGAAGAGGGATTTCTTTTCCATTACTTCTTCATAGTTCGATGCCAGAAAGGGCACGTGTCGTAAAACCGGGAAAATACAATAGTTATTTATTTAGTTTGGGCGGCATGTTGTATTAGATGAAATTTTTTCCGATAAGCATTTGTTTGGATTTCACCCCACCCTCCAGTTAGTCTTCTGAACGCAATTTTAACCCTTACATTGTGACAGTTTACTAAGGTGCGCTCGTACTTAAGTAGTATGGATCTACTGAAGTTTGTCTATTGATTGGTCCATTGTAGACTGATATTTGGACGCGTTTGTGATTCGAAACGGCTTCGGAGTTGCCGGTTGACTAACAGAATCCCCAGAGGATCACGTCCACTGGGACCACGTCACCGGTTCCGTAGAGTGTTCTTCCTTCAAAGATAATATTAAACAACGGATGCGTAGGTACCATCTGTAAAAAAGCCTATTTTGTCTGTTACCCTAAGTCGCCATCCAATACTTGGGCCTACTATGGAGAGCATTTGGTTGGTTTGATTCCACCGACTTTTCGCAATTGTTCAACGCTTACGTGCGACCACATGTTGAATACGTCCTTCAGGTATGATATCCCTGGCAAAAACGTGACCTCACTGCTCTTAAGAAGCCACAACGAAGGGCGGCAAAATGTGGAGGGATTGCCCCACCTCCACTTACCAGTTGAGACTGAAGACACTAGAAGCTTGTGATCTCATAGTTGTGTATCAGATCTTCTATGACCCAAACCACCTATGCCAATCCCTATTGAAAGTCGGCCAC